AACTTCTTTGTTGATTTTTTCTTGTCCCTCTACCATCCCTGCTATCGGGTTACAGAACCAATCTTTGAATTCCTGGTGAGACTGAAAGACATGCGGCATCAGAAAATGCATTAGAGACCACAATTCCATAAGATCATTCTGCAGCGGTGTACCAGTCAACAAAATTCTGCGTTTAGAATTGAAGTTCAATAGAGTTTGCCATCTCTGAGACTTCCAATTCTTAATTAAATGGGCTTCGTCAAGAATCAAGTATTTCCACTTCTTGCGCTTGAACATTTTACTGTCCTGAATAACTAGCCTATAGGTTGTTATGCATACATGAAATGAGTTTAGCTTCATCCATCCTTGTCTCTTGAGTTTCCGCTCCTTTGCACTCCCAAAGTAGGTGAGTATTTTAAATGCAGGACACCATTTAAGAAACTCAGTTTCCCAATTAAGCATAACACTTGTTGGAACCACAATCAGATGGGGACCCCATATCCCCTTATCACAAGCAAGGTGTGCGAGAAGAGCAATGGTCATAATAGTCTTTCCAAGACCCATTTCATCAGCCAGAATCCCGTTCAACCTTTTCTCATACATCGCGACAAGCCAGTCCAAACCAATGTGTTGGTACTCACGCAGAGAATGCTTGAGAAGAAACGGCAGTTTTGTTCGAACTTTTGTTGTGGAGAAAGTAAATCCAGTTGGCTGCGCAGATCTTGCTGCTGCTGCTGCATCAGCAATTTTATCACTACTGTCTTTACCATTATCTTCTGTTATTTCATTGGATGTGCCTTCAACTTTTTCTGAGCAAGGCTGCAAATCCGGCTTACATTCTGTTGAATCAACGTTTTCGTCATCTGGATTAGCTTGCTGCCTGATTTCATGAGAGTCTACTACAATTTCTTCCGATAGAGCACATGAATATCCAGAGTCATCTTCAGACATATCCTTGTCACCGAAATCCTATCACAGGAAACTTGAGTTACAGAAAAGAAAACAAATAGAAGCCACTGATAACAGGCACACGGGAGATTTAATGCATACCTCCTTATACCTTGCAAGCAATACTTCAATAGGCATTTCACTCTCCTTTTGCAGCAGAGCAATCTGCAGTAAAGGGACGAGTTTCTGTTTGTAAACTTTCTAGCTAACAACAGTTTCATATTACAAGAAAACAGAATAACCAATAGGCTCACCTCTTCGACAGGGTCTTTATTATCTGCTTTTGCCAATTCCTCTTCGACAGACAGAGACGTCTCATCGTCCTGCACCAAAATAGCAAATAAACAACTTTGAATCTATATGTTCGTTCAAAATAATATTTGACAAGAGCCCAAGGCTAAGAGAATCAAGTTAAAAGAGTAAATCCCAAAATAACAATCTCTGGCTTTTGATGAAATAGCTAACCTTTTCCTCACCACTGGCAAGAACAAAGTCAACATCTTCCTGCACATGTTGACAAACAACAGTGAAACAGCAAGTTCAGTTAGAGACTTTATGCTTATTGCATAGAAGACATGGTTATGGTCTTCTGACAAAGGAGACACAAAAGAAAATCAGGTCCAGCTACCTGTTCGTCGTTAAAATCATAGGTATGATCTTCCTTTCCAGAATTTACATAGGCGGTCGTCTGGCCAGGCTCGATGTCATGAGAATGGGTCTTAGATATTGCCAAATGACCATAGCTATCATTCTGCAAATAAAGGACAAATATTACATTTGAGCCAGAATTTTGATGACAAATCAGAAAATGGGATTTTAAAAAGACATACAACTTACAGAACGACGAACACTTGGGCTCCTTTCAGTATCTTCAGAAGCTGTAAGATTCTTGTCGTCCGCTGTGAATGTCAAATGGGAAGAGAAAGTCAAAGAAAAGTAGCATTGCTACCAATACATTATACAGACTTCGTACAACTCACCCTCTCCATGATCTTGACCTACTGAAGCCAGATCAGGGTCATTCTCATTACTATCTGGGCTGGTTTCTCGGCTGACTGAGGGATCAATATCGATATCTAACACAATAAGAGGATGGAATTCAAAGAATTTATTGAGGTTGCAGCTTGTATAATTCAAACTAAAAGATGACAAAATGAGAAAAAAAGGTCAATGAAAAGCGAGCACAGAGTTATGCCAACCTCTTCCAGCAGTATAACGTCTGAGCAGCTCCTCAACTGGTAGATCCACTTCATTTTGCAAAGCTTCCAACTCTTCCTGTCTTTCCCGTCTGGTGAATTTTTTTTCATCCTCCTCAATAGTATCTTCATCATCTTCCTAAGTGTAATCGTGGGTTTGAAATGAGATGTGGAATATATTATTTCTCAAAAGATCAAAGATAAATTAATTACTAAATAAACACTAATCACTTAAATCTTCACAGAAACTATTCAAAACTAGAATAGAGCCACTATGTTGGGTAATGGGTGCAGGGAGGTGTCGTGAAAAAACAGAACGAGTTCATTTCTTAGCAAGTGTCATATCCTTGACAAATAGAACAAGTTATTCCCTATCTTTTCATTCTGGAGCAAGGATATTCAAACTGTGATACACATTAATTGCCAACAAGTGGTAAAGTAAAAATTAAAAGACGATAAGTGAAACTCACGGACTCATCCTCGGATTTCAGATCATAATCCTCATCGATGTCAAGATTTCCTGATTCAAGATCTGCAGCTACTGTGTCAGGAGAATTGTTAGGATACAGTTCACTTGCTTAAAGTAAACATAATGCTGCGTTGAGTAATAGGGTGCTCACAAGCATTCAACTCTGGAGGACTCTCTTCTTCCCTCTCATCACTTTTCGATTCGATTGCAAGATTTTTTGAAGGATTGTTTTGGCTCTGTTTATAAGGCTCCACTAAATTTTCGGCCAACATGGTTGAGTATCTAACATAAACCAACCAGCTAAATTCAGTTCTTTAACTATGTTCCAAAATTACAAACAACTGTAAGAAAAAATCCGTAGTAACCTTTCAGTTTGGCCTAACAGAAATTCAAGTTGCTTGTCCATGGCCTTCTTCTTTTTCTCATTGCGTACCAGCTGATGCTTGTAAAGCACCTATAAAGTTGCCATTCCGCACAGAAAAAAAAAATTCAGACGCTCAGAAGTTATGCAAAACCTTACATTTCAAGACCCAGGAGAGAAGTAAAAAGAATTACCAGCTTCTCAACTTTCATCCAAAACTTTTTAACGTCTTTTGAGATATTGAGGGCCACTTTCCGTAGTCGCTGTTCTTCTTCCTGTAAGCAGCAATTACTGTCACTTAAAAACTAATGCTAGAGTGTCTGAGTAATTCTGAAAGAGAGAAGAGAGGCAGAAGAGAGAACCTTTAGCTTCCTTTCTTCCCTAGATGCCTGATCTACCATGCCTTTGCTAGCTCTCAAAGCAACCTTCTTTGCCTGGGTCAGCTTCCATTTCCTCTCAGACTCAAAGTCCTAAAACATAAAAAAGGTAACCAATTAGCCGAGAGACAACATGCATGCAAACCAAATTCTTGCTGAATGATCAAAATAGCCACCCTCTTCCTTCTCTTACCTTTGACAGCCAAGCCATCTCCTCCAGAACATGGTCCCAGTGAGTTTTAGGGCGACGTGGTTCTTTAGGAGCTTCAAGCGTCTGAAAGAAAAAACAAAAACCCATTTACACTTTTTCCAATAAGCCATTGATACTCTCATAAGCAGAAGGTAAATGGGTCTTTCGTACTGGAAGAAGATGAAGTCAAATGAAAAAAAAATTGGATCGGAAAAGGTAACCTTTTGGCGCTTAGCTTTGGATTCATTATCAGGTCTAGATTTTCCACCTTTAGACCCCATTACTATATCAGGTTTAGATTTTCCACCTCTTGACGCCATTACTAAACGCCTCTAAGCAAACTCGTCCAAAGAACCCACCAACACACAACA